CTACTTGCTGGGGTAATGGCCACAGTATAACTGGGTCCCTTTTTTCTGAGATGTTTCTAGTGGCCAGTTCCTTTGGGACATTGAGGGAGAAGCTTTCTGAAAGACAGAGGTCACCATATACTTAGCTCTAATTTTAAAACATACGTCCTCAGATACAGCCCCCTCTTCACACAGCTACCGCTCTTTTTACCCAAGAGACCAGCCTAGGGCTGTAAGTGCTCTGCAGGTTCTGACATGTGCTGCCCATGAAGCACACGGTTACATTTGGAAAAGATCATTACAAGCCCAGACATAGTCAAAGGACACATGAAAGTCCGCCTTACTCATTCATTAGAGCACAGGTAAGACGGCTTTGAGATGTTGCTGAAACAGCTGCCTTGATTTGCAAATGCTGACTGCAAGAATATCTTGCATTTCAGAATACTGTACCCAATCAGTGGTGATGTCCAGGTCTGGGAAGTGGACCTTCCTATAACGGATCCATCCTGGTTAGGGGATAATCCTTGTCCTATTTGCACAGGGGCAGAAGTGACCCCAAAAATGTGCTTTTAGCTTTGACACAATTGTCCCTGGTTGGTGTTCAAGTTCCAAAAGACACAGAAATCCTGGCATAGCCACTTCCTAAATTGGAGCCTGGAAGTTGGGGCAATTCATTCAAACATTCCTAAATGAATGACAGGATGGGTAATGGGCACAGCACAATAAAGGCATTTGCAATTGTAATACCCTGCCTGATTTCTCACAAACTAGGACGATCTCTCCTTTTTCCATATCCTTGAGTCACCTCAGAATCAGCTCACTGGGAGGAAATAAGGGGTTTGATTCTGGCTCTAATTGGCTTTTGCGTCTTTGTTTTAACTGTGTGTTTTAGTCATTGTTTGTATCGAAGTGTCTGGGAGACGCGGTGAGATGGGTAGATACATAAACATAGCAGCACTGTCTAATGGTTAGAGAGAACTGGCAGGCAGGATTCCTAGGTCCTGTCCCCAGCTCTGCTAGTGCCTCACTGTGTGACCTTGGGGAAGTCACTACTCCTCTGTGCCATTCTTTTATTTAGCTGACTCCTGTCACCATTGTGTCTGAGTGCTCTGCAAACACAGATGAGTTCTTTCTCGCGACTGCCTTGTTTGGTAGGGAAGCGCCATTACCCCCATTTTCCAGAAAGGAAACAGATGAGTGCGGGGATGGCATGAGTTAGGCAAGGTCGCACAGGGAGTCGGCGACAGCGCACAGAATCAAAGCCAGGTGTCCCAACCCCCAGTCCAATGCTTTTGCCGTAAGACGGTTCTTCCTTGTAGCTTCTGCATCTCTATGAAATGAGGGTAATGGCACATCCCTGCTGTGCAGAAGGATTACAAGGATAAACTCATTAACGCAGCAAAGTGCTTTGAGATCCCCGCATAGAAGGTGCTGGAGAAGGGTCAGGCTTGTGTGTATTTACTAGTGGATTAGGCATGTTCTCAGTCAAGGGAGCCCTTGGGTTCCAACACTTGTCAGAAAGCACAACCCTGCTGAAAGCACGGGTGCTCCCCAGCAAAGAGGAAGAAGCACCTGTCTGCCTGATCCAGAGGAGATCTTTTTGGGGTTGAGGCACTTATCAAAGTCTCAGCTCCTGTATGGGCCAGATCCTGTGGAAGTAGGATTGTGGCAATGCCCTGGCAAGTCCCGGTGGTGCACATAGACATAGAAACACCTGCCCTTTGTGCCGAGTTCAGGCAGGGCATTTTCAAAGTAGGCTTGAGCCTGCACTGACTATTTAAACTCTTCTTCCTTAGCAAAGGAGGCCTATTGCAAATGCCTGTTCATTCAGTGTGAGTCTGGGGCCGGGCCCCTACCACGCATATAGTTGTGTGTTTTCTGTTTGGTTGCTGTGAGAGGAGCAATGCAGAGATGGCTGGGAAAGGAGGACAGTGCGGAAGGGAAAGGTGGTTGTGTAATAGCTTCTAACCTGTAATGCTGTTGGACGGCTCTTGGGTTCACACTGGCAATCACATTAGCAGAGCCCTCCAACTAATTTCTATAGATGTCTGCTCCGGGGGATCGCGGAGAAAACACTGAAGCCATTTGGTGGGTCTAAAATATGATTTAGCTGTATAATAGTGCTTGGCCTGGAGCCTGCACGGCCTGCTCTGCCTGGACTGTGAGTCCCTGAGCTGCTGTCGGCCCTCTCCCCGTCAGTCAGAGGTGGTGAAAGAGGGAAGTGAGCTGTGCAGAACATAGAGTCGCAGGGCTGCCATTATGGGCTGCTGGAGCAGCAGGGGGATGTATGCAAAGATAATGAAAGGCCTCAAAACAGGCCAAAGCCACTGCAAGCTCCGGGTGCAAATAGTTCTCCTGCAATCTGCTCCGCACAGCACATCCTGTCAGATTCATTCCTGGGAAGCAGAGGGGAAAGACTCAAACTTCCTGGGGGCATCAGGCAACCTGAAACAGAAATCCCGCAGAAATCAAGGGTGACATCTCCACTGACCTCACTGGGAGCTGCTCTGAGCTCCAGGTCCCCTAAATTCAAGAAGTTGGGCACTTCTACTTTTTACATGAACTCGCTGGTGCTTGCCACTGGCAAGAGCAGGCCCCAAACATCTGGTGGGCTCCTGCTTCAAGGCAGTTCAATGCTGCCGGCTTTTCCTGGCTATCCTTAGTGCTCTTTAGCTATTCCTCATATTAGGCTTTGCTTATTCTCATGGTATCAGGCTTTGTGCTCAGCTATCCATTTGCAGTCCAAGGGCAAAGGAGGGAAAAGAGATGAAACCAAAAGCATTGGTTATTATATGAGGTGCCAAGGACCATCAGTTGCACTGATGCCCATGAGGACTCTGGGGACTCAGTGTGTGGCAGGATTAGGCTCCTAATCAGAGACCGAAGTGAGAAGCCAAAGGAGGAATGCACTAGAAAGCAACAGCCGGCCTGACACATCGTATTACAGATGGCAAACAACCCACCAGAGCCCGTTCCCACCTCCCTATGGCCTTAGAGTTTCCCAGTCAGTTGAGAGAGTCCATAAGGGCTTTACTGATTCCTGCATTTGGCAGAAATAAGATTTAATTGAAGTGTGGAGGTTTCTAACCTGTGTCAGCCTCTCAGGAGGGAACTCACCATACAAAACCGCCAAGGTTGCAGTAGCCTGGTCCAAATGCTACCTCCTTTGGAAAAGGGTCATGGGGAAAAAATGGAGACTCATTTCATAGAGGAAGAAGCTCACACACAGGTTAACCCTGCTCTCTTCCATGCACATGCATGCACAAGACAGAGAATTCACCACTGCCACATATTGTCTTCAGGGGAGCTGTGTGCCCACCTCTACTGATGCTAAATTTTATCTGCTCTTTTAGTACTGTTAAATAAAAACCTCCTCATCCATAAAGTGCCCAGAGTCCCAAATAAAGTCTGACACAAGTACAATTCAGTTAAAAGCCTACATTCACTGGGAACTCAACTCCAATGTGCATAGTGAAGCCCAGAGTGGTTGATACAGAAACAAGCCTGGTTGGGACTACATTGAAAAGACCCTGAGAGAGTATCAGACACTGATGCCCAACAGCTGCAGAATAATCATTTACTGCTCTGTCCAGCTACATTTTTAAATGGGATGCACATAGCGCACAGATCAAACACAGCCCTAGTTAGATCAATACCGAGCGGGGTCCAGCAGAATCTAGTGAGGTTTCATAGTTTCACAGTTGTTAGGGGCTAGAAGGGACCTTACAGATCATAGGGTCCAGCCCCCCTGCACTTGGGAAGGAAAAACTGCTGGGATCAGATGGTGCTGTCTAGTAGACTGGTCATGGGACCAAGAGCCAGGAACTCACTGAGTTCTCCCCATGACTCTGACAGTCACCCACTGTGACCTTGGGCTGGTCATTTATCTGTGTCCTACTTTCCCTGTCTGTCAAGCCACGACCATAAATTGCACCTGTCTCAGGGAAGTGATGAAGGTTCATTGGCTAATGTCTGTCCCATGTCAGGAAGGAGTACAGGAACAGTGTTGTTGATAAGAAGCACTGAATTGTGACAGTATAAAAA